CGAGACCCAAACCAACGCAACGCGTCGTTTGCCAAGATTGCCGGGGCTTTAGCGCGAGGCGGCAAATAAATATAATATCGCGGTAAACCCTACTCGTGTGGAGCCCGATAATGTAAACGGAAAAGAATATTCCGACTATCCGAAAATAAACAAAACGTGCGCGCGAGATCTTTTGAAATAATCAGATACGCCGCTGACTGTATTCGCCGAAACGTATGTATTCGGCCGAGCGGCCGAGTTTTTCTTTGTACGTCGACGCGTGATATAAAACGTATTACCGTTTAGTTATATATGCATTATCAGATCGCGATAATAAAGAAAGCTGGGCTTTGCCTTTCGCTTAATAGACGCCGAGCGTTTTCTCGATGAAAGCAAGCGAGATGGCTTAATTGGGAGTTCCGACATTCCCGGCGACGAAGAAAAAAAGCTAGAACTACACTACGGAAATCGTAAATAATACGTGGCGAGTCGTCTGCTGTTTTTATTTACGGTATGCTATCGACAATTTGACATTTATCACACACAATGTTATAACGAATGGCTGGAGATACCGCGACGTGAAACAGGCCGTCAACAAGACCTGACATTTGTTAACTAATCCAAGCAAGATTCAAGTTAAGCAAGCTGTGTACAAAATTCAACAGTCTGATCTCCAAAAAGATACTTTCAAGTCAATTCCGCCCGTCGGTTCTTATTTCATTACTGTCACTATTTATCGCTGACATCCCTAATAAAAATACGTCCACCGCGCTTTTATTCTCCAAACCGCTAATAAATACAGAACATACAGAATACAGCTTGAGATACGTGTGTGATAATATATATATATATATATATATATATATATATGTATATATATATATATATACACATTACATATTCGTACGCGGGCGACTTCAACGACAAAATATAAAAAATAATTAACGATGACAACCGGCATTTTTATTTCGCCGTAATAAAAGCGGATACCGTGATTTACGATGCGACAAAAGTGGGAACTCCGGAAATAGCGACTGATAGTCGTGTCTGTGTTATTGGCAGTCCGGTATTCCTTCTATCCGTAACTTCTTTTATTTCCATTAGCGAAAAAGATTAAATAGGATATCGGAGAGACATTGCGAAAGAGCAGTGTGATATTATTATACACTTTTTTCCCCCCAGAAGCTCAACGAAGAAATCGAAGACAGACTCGCGAAAGACTTATATTTTTGGCGAAAGAAGATTGGCGGGGGGAGAACCGCCGATCGAGATTGGACTCTATTAACATCGGCTAATATGCGCTTCGAATATCCTAATTTTCCACCTCAACTCGATAGGTGGGGGGGGAGGAGAGGGAGCTCTTCTAAGGAGACAGCTAAGACGCGCCATACGGAGCCGTACGTGTAACTCCGACGTGTTTCTGATCGTGACACATGTCCGTCGCAGAAAAGACGCACCGAGCGCGCTGCCAAACGCGCCCCAGCCGTTGATTTTCCACAAAATGTCTGAGCGGCTGATTGACATGTTTATTCGTAATGTAATCTCGCGGGTTCGCGTTAAATCACGTTAACGTCAACGCGGCGCGTTTGGCTTTGAAGGTTTTAATTAATATGAGGCGAAACGCGCGACCCGTTCAGTTAATCCAAACGTAAAATATAAAACCACTTTCTTTTTCCCCCCTCTGTCTCTTCCGTTTCTGCAACTTGGACGTTATACCGCGAATCCGCGATATACAAGAGACAGTAGGTTTCTTAAATAAGGACAATGGAAACGGTGCTCGAGCGACTGTGGTAAAAACGACGCGGTTGTACGGAGAAACGAAATAACGTAAATGAGTAATGTTAGAATTATAATGAAATGTGTAGCGATTAATATGAAATATGTAGACGCTTGGAAAGTTTTATTCGCGAGCCCCGCGCGACATTATTTCCTCTAATTGCGTCAGCGCAAATCTTGGAACTGATATACTCCGTTGGTTTATAGATGCAATGAATTATGAAACACGACATAAACATTAAAGGTTCACTAATTGCAAGTGATACGTCATTCGCCATCTTTATACACGCTTGTTATTTTAACTTTCACAACAGCAAAACACTGTAAAATATAATATTTTTACTTGGCGCGACCCGTTGAACTTATCAGATAGTGAAAATATGATAGATGCTAGAGCCTAGACGATGTCCTTGCAAGAAGAATTTTTAAGTACATTTATTATAATTAATTGCTTATATAAAATTCGAGTATTCCAGGAATGCGCGATCTTTCTAAATCAATAATAAGTTGAAAAAGGAACAGAGAAAACAGATTCATCTCATTATTATTCTACTTTTTAGAGTATTATAATATTCAATAACATTTCAAGTGCCGTGCATAGTTATTTATATTTCCATTCAAAGCTTGTAAACTAAAAATATAAAGCCTTATTTCAGTAAAATAAATATCGAAGCTAACGTTTTATTTTTAACGTATTTGTAAATTCACAAATCACTTATCGTGCGATGTTTCACAAAAGTTTTGCTATGAACTTCACGAAGCGTGACATTATCATTGTGATAATAAAAATGTTAATTAGCCATGTGTACGGTTAGTAATTAAAAGGCATTTCAAGATAATCTATCTAAAGCACTTGCTCATTTAGACAAAAACCTATAATTATCAACGCGCGAGCGAGGTGGGGGAATTGTTTGCATATCGATATATACATGTGTCCTTGGCACTGTTATACACAAAACGAAAAAAACATGAAGAAACATCGAGCCATTATCCGGCATTGTCAATGGCGACCTGAGGGACGAGTAAGGACTACCACAGACGTGCGCGTAAAGATTTTCGGTTACATCTCCGACAAGTTACTAATTGAGATTCAGCGACACGCATAATCGCCCTGAAATAACACGGATTCCAATCGACGGAGGGCGCCGTGAAAGGCGAAATACGGGCGGGACCATTCATCCCGACGGTTAAAATCACCGAATATTTCACTTTGCTGAGCCAGCTGAGCCTGCCACCGCCTGTCGCGGCACCCCGGCGATGGAAACGATGGAGGGATGAAGCGGACCTTCTCTCCACGACTCACTCCCACACCCCTACGACGGAGAGAAAGAGAGAGTAAGAGAGCGAACGAGCAAACGAACAGAGAGAGAGAGAGAGAGCGCCACTGACTCTAGAAACCTACGGTTTGCCACCCGCATCCCTCTCGCTGTCTCTTTTTCCCCGCTCGTCCTCTTCCCTACGCTAGGCTGCAGATTTATGCGCCCCGCCTTGCAGCGCTGATATCCGAGAGCTCACGACCCGTTCTGTCCGTAATGAAAGAAATAAATTTACTCTTCTGGGGGTGCCCCAGGGATTGGGACTCGCCGTCGTCCGTGTGCGCGCCACAGTTCTTCGCATTCTGACGGTGTTAGACGAGAGTAGGATCGCCAATTTAAAGATTTTGTCACAAGATCCGGTGCCTTTGAGTCGCTAGAGTTTGGTAACTGTAAGATTTGTATATTTTACTTTGCCGCTTGCCCGCAGCAATATAATAAATAAAGTTGCGACTGAACAAGAGCCGGGAGGCGTCTATACAGGCGAAAGGATCAAAAGAAAGAAAAAGAATTCTAACAAAGGAAAACATATTTGGTAATTACACCGAAAAAGGGCCCTGATTTATTGTAAGCACTGAATTTTCCACTTGTCTCACATCTTTTTATCTTGTCTTGTAGACAAATTAGCCTTGTCACATTAAGGACGCAGTAGATAATTTTGCTATTCATTGCAAGTCAAATTTAATGATTGGGCTATCCATTATTTACAAAGTAAAGATCAAAGGAAGTACGTAGAAAGGAAGGAAATAAAAGTACAAACGCGCGCGCGCACGTGTGTGTGTGTGTGTGAGAAAGAGAGAGAGAGAGAGAGAGAGAGAGAGAGAGAGAGAAACGTTAACTTCCTAAGATGCATAGTTAAGATATACAACGATAAGTAGATTACTCATAATCAGTATGACTATTGACAGTGATTAACAACATGATGGAATGATTGATGGTATCATTTCGTATCTGAGTAAAATGCTACGGAGTTATTTAGTTTGCGATAAGAAAGAGTAATAAATGAAAGAGTGTAATCAGAATTTTGTAAAGATTATCTATAAGGAGCAAAACAAAGTTTTCGAGATGGATAGCTCGAGACACGGCCGATTCGTCGGAAATAATTATCTTAATTGTTTATATAATAGAACCCGCGCTATGATGTACGCGTTAAAGTATGTAAAAAGATATATTAAATTTCTCTACGAGGCTTCAACGTGAACGAATAATGGGTTTGGACATGTAAGAAACTACGCCTCGTTGCCAGTGAATGACAGATTGTGAAGTGCGTTTGATAAATTATCCGTCAAGCATGACTGACGAGCGGGAGATCGTAATAGGTCAGCGAAACCAGGCAGACTGATTTTTATATCTCGTAAGCGAAAGAGGAAAAAAACACGATATGAGCACGTGAATCAAACTAAATGTCATAATAATTGATATCTCTACAGTTAACGTATATTTAGTATATTTTGAGAGCAAACGAGCAAAAGTTAAAATTGAAATACCCGAGAAATTGCGCATTTTGATAATCCAAATGTGAATATCGGGGCTTTGTAAAAAGTTGTACGCAAAAGTTTACACATAAGAGAAAACGGTAAAGCAAAACGCTAAGCGGTAAAAAGGAAGGAGTCGGATTAAACGAAAGAACAATATAGTAAAACACGCAAAATACGTGGTAGAAAGGATTAAATAATTCTACAAACATTGTTTTTATTAAAGCGGTATGGAAACTCAACGATATTTACAAAAGATATTTACAATGCGGATAAGGCGTATTGGTACACCGTGTTGTTCTTCTTTCATTAGATTGATTAGAATATTCAACACAACGCGTGAAACAATGTGACGTTAAAAGCAGTTACGATCCGATACGCTCCCGGATATAAACCCTGATAAAAGATCATCCCAGTTACGGTCAGCCGAATTTCGAAAAGAAAATGATAAAACAGATTCTCTGTGGAATTTCAATTTTATTTTCGTTTATTCTGCAACTCGGCATTCGGTATCTTGCCTTACACAACTAACGATAATAAATTACAACGTAGTATTTCGTCTCGGAGATATCTTAGACACGCTCGTCAATAATATATCCTTTCCTCGTCCGATTTCTCGAAAGAGTAGCGTAATATCACAGTTATATCGTGGACACAGATGCCGCGCGCGCGCGCGCTATCGAACGCATTTCAGCACGAGAAAGGCTCGCGTTTGCGGAGCGTCGGGAAACATACAGTAGTAACGCACTTTGCAATCATCTTTCACAGACGTAACGCGCCGTCTGCGAAACGCGAGGATGTGACGTTACAACGAGAGATGCATCGGAAAAACTGAAACAGCACGCGGATTCGGAAGCGCAGTCGGGACAATTCCTCGTGAGTCGCGTTGAATCCTGCGTAGGAAAGCAAGGCTCTTTTGTTCGTCCGGCAGTTGCGACAATATTTAACTTACAGCTGGTATGTGTAAATCCTTCCCCCTACATGGTAAACCGGATTTTAATAGAGATGCGTATCATAGATGTTTCCTTAAGAGAATGGTCTCGCGATGCAACGTTAACACTGTCAAGTTGTTTCATAAACTTTAATCATAATCTTCAATGTACACATATATTTATATTTATATATACATATATAGAATTCTTTTAAATAAATCTGTATTGTACACATTGGCTATTTACACAACAGTCTCAGACGGCAGGCTCGTCCGCGTTTAAATTCATTTTGCACATTGTCCGAATTGTACACTGAGAGAAAAGGGGGAAAGAGAGACAGAGGAAGAGGGGGGACGAGAGAAAAAGTCTCTGCGAAAGATCCTACGAGGTCGTGCCACCCTCTCCCTCCCATCCTCCCCGCGATATATCCATCTTAGGGATGTACAGCGGCGCCGATTCGCTGTCCGTAAACCGCGTACGGCGAGTAATACGGTCCTAAGGCGTTGAAAGCGCTGTACGGCGATGCGGCGAGCGAGGCCGGCAGCGGACCCGTCGGCGGCTTGCCGTACGGATGATATCGAGCGCCGAGCGGGCTCAGCGACGGCGCCGGATAGGAACCGCCGCTGGCGCGGTGTAGGGTCGTCGACGGCGACAGCAGCGGATGCGGATGCGGATTGCCGAGGAGCGCCGCGGCGGAGGCCGCCGCCGCCGCGTGGTCGCCACCGGTCAGGCTCGTGTGGCTACGCAGATGCTGGAGCAATTCCTCCGACGTGGCGAACCGCTTGCCGCAGTACGACTCGCCGGCGATCCAGTTGCAGACGTAGGGCCGGCCGCCGGCCAGCGTGGACGGATAGGACAGCGACGGTGGCGGCATCGGGCCCAGGGAGGATAACGCCATTGCCAGGCCATACTTCTGGTGGTCGCACTGCGTGCACCCGCTCGGACAGCTACCCGCGCCCATCATGATCTGCGCACTGTGCATGCTGTACTGGCAACCGGTGCAAAAGGGGTCCTTGCAGACCGGCACCAGGGCCTCACCCCCGGCTGGGGTCTTGACGCGGGCGTAACTCAAGTACGGGTTGGCGCTGGTCGGGCCCGCCGACGGATAACCGCCGACGGACAGCAGCGCCGCCGCGTGATGCGAGAAGGGCGACGCGCCCGCGAAGGGCGGCCTGAAGGCTGGATTCTCGGCGAGGCCCGGCGGACAGCACAGCGGATTGCCGGAAAATCCTGGAAGACCGGGTTTGTAAGCGGCCAGATTCGCGTCCTTTGCGTGCGCGCCGGAGAGGATCTCCATCCCGGATCGGATGATCGGACTGGCGCCATTGTTGTTGTTATTGTTGCTGCTGCTGCTGCTGTTGCTGTTGTTGCTGCTGCCGTTGTGGCCGCTGCGCGGGGAACCGTCGGTCTTCTCGCGGTCCGCGGGGGTCTTCCGATCGACCGACGGCGTGCCGCTGGTCGTCGTTGCCGTCGCTTGGCTGGTCGGCGACACAGACTTTCGGCTCACAGGCGTACGATTGCCGGACGATTTCTTGTCCGGGTGCGTGTTGTCACTGACACTGACACTATCCTGACCACTGACACTATGCACACTGGCTTTGGACGTGGGTCTACCCTCGTCCGAGGTTTTCTTCGTCACGACATTGACCTCGTACGGTTTGAACGCCAGCGACTTGCCGTCCATCGGACTGCCGCGGGTGTTGCGCTCCATTTTTGCGGCCGGCGGCGATTTAGCATTCGTGGCGATGCTCATGCCCTTCGAGTTCTTTTCCAGAGGCGAGATCAGCGGTTTCGTGGGCGAATCCGCTCCGATCTGGCTGCATGTCTGCGCCAATAGCGCCAGTGGACTCTTTTTCGCGTCCAGCTGCACAACACAAAAGAAAGCAGAATTATAGACAAGATTGCAGAAAGATACAGCTCTGACTCTCATATTGAGAACATATCGCGGAAAATGAGGTATATATTGATCGAAGCTAACGATAAGCGATAGTTATCCTCTGCTTCAAGTTCCGTCGGAACACGAATGGGCGACTCGAACAAAGAAAATCATGAAAAATAATGGGAGAAAAACACCGCGACTCTAAAGTTTTAATTGTTCTCGCATTTATTCTCGTTTTCAACGTGAAAATAATTATATTTTTTACCATACTTTTTGGTCAAAACCGACAAAGGTGTAAAAAAGATGTAAGAATTTGAAGGAGGAACAATGCGAAGCACGATACTAACCGTAGTTGAAAGCGGCGAAAGGTAATCCGGTTGTAAATACTGATTGTGTCCAGTAGTCAGCATACTGCCTTCCTCGAGCACAACCATTTGGTTACCCACTAATTGATCTCACTGCACTTTGAAACCAACAACGGATATTGACACAGACACCGTATGCGTGGGCGAAACTGAATCGCGTCGAGCCCAACCGAATGTGGAGGGCCAAAACGAGGGAGATCTACGCGAGGACACCGCGTTGAGACTGCGCCTCTCCGTCGGGAATCGATCACCGTCGCGCGGCCACGTATCCTGGCGCAATGGGCGACGCGTACACCACGAAATCCAGGAAAATAATGACGGCTTGCGCGCAGCAGCTCGCTCTCTGGCGCTCTCTGCCTCCGAGCCGAAGTGCTATCCTGGTGCCGTCTGGTGGAATCTCGCCTTCGAACCAGTAATGCCGGAATGGGATCGCGGCTTCCAGCGGTTTTCTCCCCTCTGTCCGCGCACACAAGGACGCTCCATCTGTTCGTGTGACGACAGTCACACACGATTAGACGGAGCGTCCTCGTGTACGTGGGCAGAGGGGAGAAAACCGCTGGTAGCCGCGACCCCATTCTGATATCGCTGCTCCAAGCCCCCACCTTCGCCCCTTTGCCCCCCTAACCCCCCTATCCTTGACGACCCGGGGTGTATAACCTGTCCTCTCCTGTCATCCCTCCCACCTCGCTCGCGGACGACCGATGGTGGGGTGGGACGGCATTATGGTGGGAGAATTGCGGTGCTGCGTGGGGTGTGGGAAGGCATTCTAATTCAACACGCCACCCATGATGTTGGCCCGACGATGACAGCTCCCATCCCGGCTTTGATATTTCACCGCTTTTACAGCCGTCCATTCCCGCTCCCCGCGCCGTCCGACCAACGTGGGGCTCCCCCCTTTTCTTCTCTTTCCCCGCCAGCCCCTTTGCCGTCGCTCTGTCCCTCTTTCTCTCTCTCTAGTCTCTCTTGCCTTCTCTCTCCACGCCATGGTCGCCTTCCCCTGCCACCGTTCCGCGCTGCAGCTACCATAGCTGCCACGACACGGAACCGTCGTTCCTGCCACCACGGCAACCCGATATTTTATACCGTGAAACCTGTCTGTCTCTCCAGCCGGCCCCGCTTAATAAGCAGCTTTCAAAATAGAAATGTAATGGGCCGCCGGGGGTAGGGGAGCGGGTTGGGTGATTGATTGCTCGCTCAGCGACTTACCGACTTGCCGCGGCCCCACGGGGTAACGAATGACAGCCACTTAAGCGCTGTTTGCCTACAGTTTTGTAAAAGCGTTTTAATTATCGCCCCGGCTCCGACCGCGCTGCGCACTGAGTCATCCGGTACTTAACGCCTCGTAGCTACCGATCTCTCTCTCGGCGTTTGCGTGCCATTCTTTATGTCGCGTCGTGGATTCGCCGATACCGAGTAATCTCGCTGTCAGTGTGAAAGAGTTTCCTGATCTTTGACCGGAGACGCAGCGGTTCTAAATATATTTTTACACGAGAATCGCTAAACGCGCGAGGAGTAAAAAATTTTTTTCGTAAACCTTAAATTGCCAAATCGCTGAAAGATATAAATAGCGATTTTCTATCCGCTTTTAGCACGCACGTGTCTACTCGACGCATAATTTAAAGCGAAATCGCGATAGCTTTATTAATCGATACGAATGATTCTTTTTTGATATTTGTTTCGACGAGCCTATGTCGCGATATCGCCGCGATATCTGGGCATACATTCGCGCGCAGAATGAAACGCGCAAAATACATATTCGGCGAAATCCAACGGCGCACTCACGCGTGTAACGCATTTACGCGATCACCAGGCAGGCGCGCATCATACGCGCCGTGCGCGCATCCGCTTGACGGGATCGAGCGATACGAGCCATTAAAGAGCTTGACTATCAGACCTCGTTGGAACTCAAACGCTCCGCGGTTAGGCGATTATGGCCATTCCGCTAAGTACGGTTTAAGCAAGATAAAGCGATCGATGAAGTAACTATGTTACAAGGTAATTACGACGAATTATGACGATATCCACACGCCGCTACGTAGACCGCATACCCGCGGTAAACAATAATTACCCCGGGGAGCACTTCGCCCAGGAATGCGACCGAACAGTATCTGAGAAATGCATATAGGTATGTCGGACCGTAATTTAACACTGCAAGTCTTTATAACATTCCCGGTATCATTAACTATTATAATATTGTATAAGCCACAAACACAGAAATTCATGACCAGTTCTCGATATGTGACATTACTTTCGGGGAAATAATTCTCGCCGCAATTACTCTCGCCGTAATTTCTAGCTTTTACTTTTACTTTTATCGTAAAAATAAAACTCTCTTCCACCTTGAAATAGTGTCTTTACTTTATCGCGTTGTAAAACTTAATGACAGCGGATACTGTCATACTTCATACTGTGACAGACTGTTTGAAACTGTGCGTCGATAACAGTGATGAATATATCAATAAAAATGTCAAAAAAATTTTTTAATAAATACATTTCTCGAATAAAATATTACGTTTTGCGGATCTGTGAGAGCAAACTATCTTTCTGTGCATTTTTTTTTTTTAATTATATTAATTACTTTAGGAGCTTCCTGTCTCATTTACCGTGTCGATATCGTATCTCTTTGCCTTATTTAGTTTCTAAGAAAGGAAAAAAAATAAAGACTGTTGGCACAGCGTAGCTCCCGCGTGAACTATCTGCCATTACGGTGCCGCGAATATCCCGAAGACGACTCTTTGACGTTTTGACACTGACGGATGAGTTTATGGCTAATATAGTTCTCTTTCATCTCCGCAACCGGAGTCCCCTCGAGCCCCTCGCTATGAAGATTTAGAGTCGACGGCCGTCTTTCTCGATAACGGATTCGCCGGTCTGATCAATGGCGTGTGCTCCTATTATAAACAATGTTTGCGGTGTGCAAACTCCGACGACAAACGTTAAGTACATTTGTAATGATTCGCGCTGCCACGCGCTGAGTACATGTAGCGCGCGCGCGCGGTGTTTCACTGCCACTGTAAATTACGTTGACAGGATCTCTTTTCGCGATCGAATCGTTGTTATATGGCCACGCCACGCTTTATCAGTGACGGCAATATATCACGGTTACTGCTCAACGCAAGGTTAATTGGCCTTATGCAAACGAGATATATTTTTCTTTTCACAATATTTGGCACGCGTAGCTCAATGATTATATTATGTAACGATGGATGTTTATTCGCAATATCTGAAACGGATATTGCGAATCACTCGAATGTTTGATAGCTAAATCACTCTGTTTTACTTTTTAACATGATATACATGTATGCGTGCGTGTGATTTAAATGTTAAATATTTTTTTAAATAGTTGTAAATTATTATTACATTCGTGTTTTACTTTCTGATATGCTAGTCTAAAGCTAGTCTATTTTTCTTTACAAAACATGGGATTGATAGGCTCCTTTTTTAGAGAGAATATCTTTTTTAAGAGAAAATATATTTATTGTTGTCACAGATGATATATTGAAATGCGTTTCTTAATATTAGCATTAGAAATACTTGCATTCAGGTTAAACACGTATTTTATTTACGTTAGACTTAGGTTAAGTACTGCAATAAACTCATTTTTTACTTTTACGGACTTTTTCTGATAAGGCGATGACCATGCCATTATTGGAAAGATGAAAGGCATGGAACAATACTATACAGTGAAATACAATAGTACTTAACGAAAAAATAACAGATAACCAAAAAACTTTGTTATATTGCTCATAAATTGTATCGTCATTTAATGGCAATAAAACAAAATTGGTGTTGACAAATGTACAAACAAATGGAAAAACATGGGTACCTTTATGAGAACTTTCTTAGACTTGTCAACAGAATAAGAACGTACAAGTTTATCTATGAGAATTTTCTCAGATAATATATTGCTGGTAAATTGTGAATTTTTAAAATTTCTAATTTAACAGCCATAAACAAACTTAGTCCCTTTATTGAAGAGGTAACAAATACTCTACCATTAGCTTTGTCAAAGGAATAAAGAGAAATATAGGTTTCTTCATGAGAACTTAAAAAAGTTCCTAAAAAGGCTTGTCCACAAAATAGAGACATACAACTTCATCTATGAGAATTTTCTCGGACAATGTATTGCTGATAAATTGTGAATTTTTAAAATTTCTAATTTAACGGCAATAAACAAAATTGGTGTTGACAAGTAGGTACCTATATCATTAGGTTGGTCAAAGAAATGAAGAAACATGGGTTTCTTTATGAGAACTTTCTTAGGCTGCTCAACAAAATAGAGACGTACAAGTTTACCTGTAACCATTTTTTCGATCAATTCCAATATAATTGAGTAACCATTTTTTACATATTTCTTTATGAGACATTTATTTATATTTTTAAATCCATGTATAAGTGAAAGCTCTGCTTCTTTCTTGCTAATACATCAAACTTGAACCTTGAACGACTCCGGAATTTATGTTAGAATGACTTTCGGGATCTCGGGATACGCCGGGATACACCATTTATAAAACGTCAAGACAAAGCTCAAGTACCATGACACAAATGATTTTCTGTGTCATTTTGCAGAAAAATACATTACGCGGCGCAGATACATGGAATGATATTATTCATCCTTTCCGTTCCTGCGAGTCACAAAGCGACTATAGCTTCTCTTCTTAAGATATTCAAGCTATCAACCGCTACCTGAGAACAAATATGAATCTCGTTATTCGCACCGATCCATTTCCGGTTGATTCGGCGCATTGAAACGCGAAACCATTCTAAATCGCGGTACACCGTCAAATGACTACAGAAACCGACGACACCGCGACAATGATCCTGCACGCTCAAGTCCTTCAAGACCGTATTGTGATGGTACGAATCCGCTGGCGGGAACAATAGACATCGGGAGAGCTTCGGATAAAAGTGTAAAAATGCTGACAAGCGGATAATAAAGGAGGCAGTCAGTCACTTTGAGAGATGGCGTGGAACAAAGAGGGCGAGAGCGAAGGGAGAGACGATCCGACGTGGGACAGGGAGGGCAGGGGAGAGGAAGCGAGAGGGAGGTGGGGGTTGCTCGGTGAGCCGTGAAAGGGAAAAAGATGGATGAACGCGAGCGCAGTTGGCGTGCACGGAGGAGAAACAGAATTTGCGGGGGATAATAAATCATAGCGGTCTTTCTACCGTCGTCCTCTCTCGTACACTCCCCTCCTCGCTCCTAACTTCTTATACACCGAGCGCCCGGAATGACAGGGGTGCGCGCCACGCCGGGGTTATATACGTATTGTCGAGGACGGATACAACCTATTTTGTGTATCAGCGTCTCTCGCGTGCGAAAAGCGCGGCGCACGCGTTTTGCGGTGTTTGCCGGGGCTTTATATC